TTTAGGGGTTTAGGGTTTCGGGTGCTTCTCTGAGATCTTGTATCCAGAATAATGCGAATAGAACTGCACGTGAGCCATTAGCAAAGTGCACGCAGAATGCTCCACACCAACGCAAACACAGTCATCGAACAAAAACACGCACCACACACAGCAAACACGAAACAACGTGAATGGCCGGTACTACCATCGCTCTCCTCTTCGTTCATCAAGACTATATTGCTATGAGCACGAGTGTGTGCTGGCTGCTAGTGTTCGTCTGCCTTCAAGAAGCAAGACTGTTGTGCCTACTATGTGCGAGTGTATGATATGTATATATCGAGGTCTGTTGCAGAAACGGGGAAGCTCGCCCGTGGCTGCCCGCATGTGTGCATAGCAAGACATTCTGTGGCAATCACAGTGTTTGATCCGCCACCAAGAACAGATATCGTTGCCAGCTTTACTGCTTCTCTGCCGATAGTGACCATTGTGCCAAACATGACTACTACGTAGGACCAGGACGGCTACTTACGATTGCGGCTACCGTCACGACTACAAATGCTACTACTCTGGCAAGTGCCGTTATTCTCATCAGTGGCCTGATTGCTGATTATTCTGTAACGGCTGATAACAGCATTGTCTGTGGGCACTGCTCGTTTTACTCCGATGTTCGCTATGAGATGCCCATCGTTACCTATGAACCTTCTGCAATCTCGGCCGTAGGACCCATCCGCAATCCCAGTGCTTTGCCATGGCTATGTCAATGTAGCATTAGGTTAGGAGCTGCGAAATGTTGAGGTGCGATCGGGAATACATTGGTCCCAAACCTTGGCTCCTAAACACATTATTGCGATTACGAATCATTATTTCGTTCTTCACGTTATTTGCCATTCCTATATCATAATTACGTTCATCACTGTTATTCGTATTTCTGACATAGTCAAAACTCCATGGCAGACTCAGGAAGACATCGACGGGAGTTTGTCCGACCTTCGGAGAGTTTCGGCTTCGGAACGAAGGCTTTAGATTTGGAGTCGACGCACTTCTGTGCTTGAGCCAATAGCAGCGTTTTGGGGTTTGGGAGTTTAGGGTTTAGGGTTTGCGGCGATGGCATCAAGTCTGCGTGGACTTTAGGTACAAGGGCCGAGTGACTTCATGAGACATGCATGACCTAGCATGCAGCCGACATACCACACCCATACGTCTCACTGACCGAGCAGCCAACAAACAAGACAACAACTGACGGTGTCTTTAAGTCGTTCCTGCTTCCTTTCGGTCGTGACGATGCGTGCCTTATGACAACGACGCCGCAATACGATGCAAGATATTTTTCTGCTGTGCATGAGGGGCGAGGTGAAGTAAGCAACGGCAGCACCATGTGCAACCTGGTTTCTTAACATGGACAGGGCACCATGGAGCAGAAATTTCCAATTGATTTGAACCAGCTTTGCTGGCGGATTCTGTGACGCAAGGGCGTACGGGGTGGGTTCAAACTGCTTTTCACCAGCATCTTTGATAGGTTCATGGCTGCATTGTCGAAGTACTCCTTGTTCCCCTTCACAAAAGAGAAGCCGTTCACATCGCAGACCATCGAATGGCCGTCGGTGGTGCGAAGGATATCGAAGCCGCATACACTTTGTTTGAAAGCTCTGACCACCATTCCTGACTGCTTCCCTAAACAAACCCTAAACCCTGCTTCATTTTGGCGAATGAGGGAAGTGGAGACCTCACCTCCCATATTACATCCGCGAAATAGAGCCCTCAAGCCTTAAAAACCCTCAACTCATATGAGCGCACTCCTCAATAAAGGCCCCAAGCCCTAAACCCGTGGAACCACAAGGGTCTCTATGGAAACCATATTGAATCTATATAGTGTCTATAGACTGTTGAGCCGAGTTTTAAGTCATCCCGAGGTTCGGGACATGTTCTTCTCCTCTTCCGTCAACTCGATGGTTTGGCGGACCTCCTTGCCGTTTGCGTCCCTCTCAACACCTCAGTGCACTGAAGCTGCCGTCGAATATGATCTACATCTTCAAGCAATGCGTGCGGATAAGGAAGGGCTAAGGGCTGACATAATCTTCATTTAGGGTTTTAGGGCTAGAGGGCTTTAGGGTTTTAGGGCTTTAGGGTTTTAGGGTTTTAGGGCTTTAGGGTTTTAGGGTTTTAGGGTTTAGGGTTTAGGGTTTAGGGCTGTGTTTGTCTTTATGAGTTCTTCCCTTCCGTGGCCTAACCCAGAGAGCACTAAGATCGACACGCCCATCCACTGCCGGCGCTTTGCGCACCTCGGCATGCGCGTAGGTCTCGCCAACTGCGTAGACCTTGATGTCCAGGCCACCTGTTTCCATGAAAGGCTCGTAGACATACATTCCATTCTCTCGGATGTGGCTCTGCGTGAGGTCGCGGATGCTTGATTGGTTCCCCTTCTTCCGATGCAGCTTGGTCGCACCACCTCCGTCGCTTGAAACATGATAGATCCAAACAGCATGGTCGTCTGCGTCCTGGGGCTTCTCCACAAAGGGCTTTGGCAAGACTTGCCCTCGCCATGTGATGCTGTCCACCTCTTGGACAAGCTCGCCGGGTGTTACCTTACTTCCCCTATGAGCCAGGAAAATAAAGGGTTAACCTTTCAGATTAATACCAAATGATAAGAACCCGAAAAGTTTAAAGGTTAAGTCCCTAAACTCTAAACTTCCTAAACCCTAAACCCTAAACCCTAAAACCTAAACCCTAAACCCTAAACCCTATTGGGGAACTAAGTTACTGAGCCATGGTCGATGACGGTATGAGGTGGGCACGGGATACCGGCTTCCGTAAGGCGCTCGTACATCTGAACCCGGTCGCTGAGAATCTCTTGCTCCTCAAGAGCATTCCTGGGTTCAAGCGTACGGAACTATTAGAATTCAAGTTTTAAGGTTTAGGGTTTAGGGTTTAGGGTTTAGGGTTTAGGGTTTTACCATAGAAAAGGAACCCCGAAACTCTGAACTATAGATCCCTTCTATGGCTTATTATGGTGGATAAGGAAGCCTTTTCAATTATTGTTTAGCTGACGGATCCCCATTACTCTGGTAGCTTTAAAAAAAGAGGCTCCTGAACAAGAGCCCAGATTCACGAGCCATGGGTTCCGGAGCCTTTGGTACTGAATGGCCTTTGGGTATTAGTTTTTGTCTCGGGGTTTTGGGGTTTAGGGTTTAGGGGTTTAGGGGTTTAGGGTTTAGGGGTTTAGGGTTTAGGGTTTCCTAAACCCTGTCAATGGCCTTTGGAAGTGGAAAACCGGATGAGGCAAAGGCCAGAAGGCAAGCGACGATCGGCCAATTTTCCACCGGCTCGTGGAGAATCATGCTCTCCTTGAAGCGAATTATTGTGAACTTGCCAGTTGCTTGTAGCCTTTGAAGTAGCTCCGCCATCGAATCCGAATTTAGCTTCTTCTTCATGCAGCAAATGCCCACTGTGATCTTCGCCATGGCAGGTGGCACGAATTCTGTTTCTACCAGTTATGCTGCGACTGGCAATAGTGCAATCGCTACGGCCACTGCTGCCAATGTGGCGAATCTGCTGCTGATACTACTGATCATGCGACAATTGCGATGTTGGCCGTCGGCGAGCGCTATGACAAATACGGCCGTTGTTAAATTGAGACAAGGTCGTGATTTGTATAAGCGACTGCGCCGCAGTGCCGAAACGAGTTCAGGTTGCGGAAACAAGTGCTATTGCTTCGAGCCAGCAGCGGTTGGCAGGGAGATGCTCGAGCACTTCCATCCGCAAATGGTCCTTTCCCATAGGCCCCATAGTAGTTCCTTTTTGGGATTACCTTATAGAATTAAAAAATGAACCCCAAAAAGGAACTACTATGGGGCCTATGGGTTCTTTCTGGCAAAGCCAATGAAGCCGCAGAGTCTGCAAGACCACCGCAGATACGAAATTCCAAACCCTAAACCCTAAATGGCTGCTGTCTGCTACGCCACGCCTTTTTGGGTGATTTCTCTGCTCCCGACAGACAATCCCCGAGCCACGCGCTGCACTACCAAAGAAGGCCAACTCCTTCAATATAAGAGCCTTTATCATGTAAGTATATTCAACAGGGTTTGGGGTATAACATACTGTAATTAAAAGAAGGAAATCCTAAAGAGTACTGACAATTATTTATGCGGCTATTTTACCTCGTTTTTCTGACTTGGGCCCATGTTGAAAGAGGAAGTATAACTTCTCAATCGCATCAGTTGCACGGACTCCTGAACAACTACAGTTTTACTTATTTAGAATTAGAAGGTAGTCCGGGCATTTGTCTTGCAAACGACATCGTGTCATGCTCCGACCTCTACTACGACAACTTCTAACACTACTTACTGATGCTGCCACTGCTATTGCTACTGCTGCTGCTGCTGCTACTACTACTACTACTACTACTACTGCTACTTCAACCTAGTACTACTACTACTCTACTACTACCACTACTGCTACTACTACTAGTACTACCACTGCTACTACTACCACCACTACTACTACTACTGCTACTACTACTACCACTGCTACCAC